GACGGGGGTATAAACACGCGCGTCTAACACAATAACGTGGCTTGTTGCAGCCGCAGTAGACGATCGATCGATAAACCGTGCGCCCGCCGTGTATGCCCGCGGTAGAATGCTGCACGTGCGTACGTGTGCCCTCGCTCCGCGAATTGCTCGCTCTCTTTTGAATGAGATTAGCACGTAAGAAACAATTATTTTTATCACATAGACACTTTGAAATTTTAGTGGCCCGGTCGGGCCACCAAATTTTAACTTTTGGAAATTTTGGTGGCCCGACATCAAGTTTTGGTGGCCCCGGGCCACCGGGCCACCGCTAGTGTCGAGCCTTGGCTAACAACTAACCAGGGGATGTCCATCAACTTAATCATGGCGCTGATAACTTTGATACGGAAATGTAGTCCTGCTTGAACAGGGTCCACACAGTGCTACATTATTTTATACGTGTTATTGGCAATTGCTTGTGCACGGGTAGGCACTGTGACTGTTTTCATGAATAACTAAAGATCTAGATATCTATACGTGTTTATGTACTATATGTGTCACTACTAATCATTTACACAGTTCTAATAAGAACAGACCAATAAGTATGGTACAAATTGTTCAAATGTGTGTGTGCCAGTGCCCATTGTACTTTCATTTACACTTGAACAATTTTGGCATTTGAACAACGTGTAATTGTAATTATAGTATGTAGTACATAAACACTGATAGTTCGGTAGCAGCATATATAACATTTATATACTCTTGTTTCGTTCTCGTAAACGGCCAAAGTCTCCGTGAGCCCTGCCTCGGCCCTTTCACAATATCCTGTGTATTTTCAGACCCGATAGACACAGACATGCTTCCAATGTCAGTGACACTGTCACGGACAATGGAGCCGCATGCTCAGACCCGAGTTCCCAACCAACAGTGCTAGATTTTCTGCAGCAGGAGGAGGTGACTAACAGAGATTTCAGGTTGGTGGTGGTCTTTTATCTGTCATAATGAACTCGGCCTGGGTATCTGTAGGCATGTACATATTGTAGGGATATAGGCATGTAGAGGCATTGATGTTTCTGGTAATCTATTTGTTTCGCAGCCTATCTGTCTTGGCCACAGACCTGACGGCAGACAACGAAACAGATCTGCGTGGCTTCCTTGCAAAGCGATTTTCAAGGGGCACCGTGTATTCCGGAACTGGCAACGTAGCAGCTCTTGACTTCAGGTAGAAGCACATGTCATCTTGTATTGTTTGCATGTGGTTAATGATATTATCACTTTACATGGAATAATTGATATGAATGAACATTAATAATTGGTGAAAGTTGGACTTGCAAAATTTGCACGTTGAGAACTAACAACTTATCAACTTGACTTTGTAGTATTTCTGAAGATTCTGACTCCCCAGTTGTCTGCTACTTTTGCCTTCTCCGTCCATCACATTGTGCTTCTTCCCAGTTGGAAACTGATCATGAAGGGACTGTATGCTCTCAGGTAAATCGTAATTTTGCTACTACCCCATGCATGGAGAAATGCATCAGTGTCGTGATTCATGTATACTTTCATTAATTTTCATTACACCGTCATAGTGTAACAGTAATGATGTTGTTGTTTTTCCTTTTCAGGAATATATTGCATGTTTTATAACGAATGAGACAGGAGTGCTAGATTACTACCGTGATGAGCTAGGAGAACATTGTAAGATGCTGCTACCCATGTTAGAAGCAGAGGTATTAAAACTTAAAGTAACTTAAGTATTCATCATTCTTACAAGTGTTATTAATTATGTAAGAGCAAACACATGCAGAAAATCATGACTTTCAAAGTGATGACGTTTCAAACCATATTTATTGAATGTTAGAAGTAGTTTACATATACATGGGAAAAAACCAATACATTTTACACAAGTTATTTAGAAAAAAATATTAATTTTATAGTGTATCCCATGAAAGCTTCCTGATATTGAAGCTCGAGTAGATATTTAATATCTATAATAGAAAATAAAATAGCAATTACTCTTGTTATAGTAATTATATTACTGTTATTCTTTAAATACAAAAATATTCATGTTCAGCATTAGTTTAAATTTAATTGGCCCTTGCTTGTTTTACCTAACAATTTTAACTGTTTGATATCTAAATGGAATGATTACTGTTAAATATTATAACTATTAATTTTTACACTTGAATAATAGTAGGGGTAAGAAATCACAAGTTTCTGCTTAAAAGCATGTGAATGTAAACTCAAACAAGATAGTCTGTATCACCACAGGAAGGCAGCACTAGCAGTCGGGTTCGTCATTATTTCTAATATGCTTGGACCAGTAAAAATTATATCATGCAAATATAGCTATTAATAGATATAATATATATATTTCTCTCTTGCCCTTACATTGACTACTTAAAAAAAAAATATTTAGTGTTATTAACAAAATTCATATTATTACACTTGGAAAAAATTCTTATCATCAAAGGTCTCCATCTTCTTCACCATCTAGATTTATTGCATTACCGTTGGCCAGCTCTTCGTCGAACCTGCGTAATTTCCGGTAGTTGCTTGTGTGTCGGCGGGAGCGCCCCAGACACGTGCAAATCCCGATGACAATGGCCCCTAAAACAAACATCACAGCAGATATGATCGCGACGCTAAGCGTATTCCATCCGTCGTCGCGTGTCGCGATCGGCGTCTCGTCCCCCCCACACTCCTTCCTCACGTCGACCGGGACCATATCCACGAAGATCTCAGCGAATCTCGCGAGCGGACACGGGTCAGCGCAGCCCGGCAGCAGCGCGGTGAGGTCGTGCAGGTCGTCGTCGTCGTCGCGCGTCTGCGTCGTCGTCGTCGCGTTCCTGTAGAGCACCTTCACCGAGAACTCGCCCTCAGCGAACTCGTGCAGCTCGACGATCGCCGTCGCCGTGTACGGCGGGTTTTCGCCGTTGAACACGCCCATGACGCCAAGGAACGGAGCGACGGTGGAGTCGTGCGCCGAGTAGACAAACAGCTTTTCGTCGATCCCGTCCGCGAACTTCGGCGCGTCCGCGGCGCCGGCCTTGGCCTTCATGTGGGCGATGAATTCTCCGAGCAGCGTGCCGGACAAGAGCCGGAGCATCTCCTTGTAGCCGAATTTCACCATGAGGGCGGCGTTCTGCAGCGCGTGCAGTCTGTCGTACACGTCGTCGGTGAGCCATGCCGGCGACGACATGTTGTGAGCCCGCTCGCAGAACAGCGTGTCGTATATCGACTTTGCGGCACTGATGTCCGCGTGCGCTCCTCCCGCCCACTGCGATAGCTGGTCCAGGAAGTCCTGATTCTCCTTGACGATTTTCAGAAACTCGGGCGTGTGGAATGATTTGTATGCCAGCGCGTCGTATCGCGGGCACGGCGCGTTGTGCATCAGCAGGTAGTCTTCGGACTCGGTGTGCACCGGGATCGGCTGCCAGCGTATGTCGGGGTCCCACCGCTGCGCTCCCGTCGGTTCGTAGAGACCCGCCAGGTTGCACTGCGCGCTCATGAGCGTGCGATCGTAGTCCGTGCTTCGGACGTGAATCTCTTTGCGAACGTAAGAGCTGCTCAGAAAGCCGTCGTAGCGTCTGCGGAGCCAGCGTCCCAGTTTGTAGTGTTGGATCATGCCTTCTGTAGTTAGCTGACCCCATCCCTGGGGCCAGTCTGCCTCTGTGTGCACGTCAGTTTTAATTGGCACTCTATAGACCGGACTGCGGTCACCGTGACGGTAGAGCAGCTGTACTAGCCGCAGTGAGGTGGGGGCGTCAGCTAATGTCCGTTTTTCTGCAAGCAAAACAAAACATACAACAACAGCAAAACAAGGCAAAAAATTTGTAGCTGCCATGATGGTTTAGTGCTGCCACCTAGTGGCAGCTATCGTATTGAAATTGTACAAAGTGAATAATTCTCAATACGAGGAACAGTATTAGTTCTTATACACATAAACAATGTAATAACAAATAAGATAACTAGTGATTAATTAAATTTGATTTTCTAACATTATATTAGCCAAGATCGAGGACCGTTGGTCGCACTCGGCTACATTGTACTTACGCATTTCTTTTTACTTCAGTCCATGGATTTGCCCCAAATACAGGAGCACTTGTCTGAGTGGTACAATGCGTCTGTGATGTTTGCATCTCGTTGTGTAGAAAAGCTAAAGGATGGTGTGGCTTATCTCATTCACATGGTAAGTCATACTAGTGTAACGCTGCACAATTCCAATTGAAAAGATGATCAGTGCATGTGCTCATTCTTTCGGTGTTATATATTTTCCACAAAGATGGTGTCATTTCCTTGTTGTTGTCCAAAATGTAGGAGTTATATTATTTAAAAAAATATTATATTTACCTTTATCTAAGAGCTTCACTGAATATTATTATTTAAATCTGTTAAGAAGAGACGCTTGTCAAGGAGAGAATAGCACAGAAATTAAAGTGGAGATGTTCCATATGCTTTTCCTGTAGTTCATCATATTATTGTATGGGTATGTATGTATGTATTACTTATTGTTTGGGTTGATATTATTTTGTTTGTTTATATTTGCAGGCATTATTAGGTTTGAAGCTGGAGATAGATGGAGACGATGATAAGTTTAAAAGTGACGTTAAAAAGTAAGTTAGTGCATGTCTATTGTTTTGGCCACGAATTATCCTATATAATACGTATACATACGTATACATAATACTTATACATATATACGTATATATATATAATACGTGATTTTTTGTTGTAATTAATCACACGAACTGCTGCACACAATATGCACGCATCGGCTTTATGTCTTGCAGGTTCATAAAGTGTTGCAGTCTCTCGGAATTAATCCAGCACAAAAGTCCGTCTTCCGAGGCGCGCGGTTCTCCCGAGGTGCCACCTGGGGGTAGTCTGCTGCCGGCGTCGATGGATGGCGACGGGGAGAGAACCGTGTGGCTGAGCGTCCGTGACGACGCCGCCGAGTTTAGCTCAACAGGTTCGTCCGAAGTGCGCGGAAATCAGCAATCGGCGACGAGCATTGCTCGAACTGCAGCACTGCGTGCGAATATGTGCACACGGTTCTAAGCACTGTCGGAATCCGAGCATTCCCAAAAAGCTCTCGTCCGCTCGACTCATCGGCAGGTTGTGAAATTGATCGACGGTGTCATCCGCAGTCTTGTTTTTTGACAGATAGGCGGTGTTGGTTGCATGGTTAGAAAACGGGAATGCTTAAGAATGCGTAGGAACTTTTAACTCTCGGCTAATTCATGAGAGAGTGCTTCGTATTCTTTTTCATCTTACAGAGTGCAATAGTTTTTGCCAAAAGTGGGCCGAAGCTCTTTTGAAAAGCCCGTCGGGAGGTGCTGTGCATGTCAGGGAAGTGATTGAAAGCTACAAACTCAAGGTAATTTCTCCTCTGATTTGGTTTTCGCTTTTTTTCTGTCTGTGTGAGTCTGCACGTTTCCAGAGAGAAAAATTATGTCTACTGTTGGTGAGTTGCATTTTGATACCAAAATGTAATGCATGGTGTGATGTGAGAGTTCAGTACTGTGACAATGATCAATCATTTACTGGTAATACTGCAGTGTAAGTAGATGAACACATGGCAGTGATGTTCGACAGCGTGTTAATGTGGGCAAGACACTGACCTGTATAGTGAGAGTTCTGTATTGACATTTGTTTCAGACGATACAGAACATGAATATTGTAAAGCGGCTCATAAGGCAGGCAGAAAATGACCATTATGCATTGTACAGGTTTGTATACTCAATCGGCTTTTAGAAGCGTTAATTGTTCTTTTAAACACATGATTAGTGCATCATGGGAAAAAATGTATTCTAATTAGCTCCTCTGGCACCCGTTGTGCCAGTCGTGTTTTGTCGTGGTAACGTTTTTCCTCCGAATGTACCATTCACAATATAGGCACTGGTTTTCTTCAAATGATGTAAAGAACTGGAGTTACACTCCGCTCATGATAAGATAACATATACACGTCAGATCCGGTGTAGACGCCCAAGATCTTGGGGTGAATAATTATTCTAAGTAATTCCGGCATCGTTTTGCAGGTGCTTCATATTTCTGCAGCAGAGTGGCAACCATGACATTCTGCTGGAGATGGTGAGGTCCGAGCAGCAGTTCACCTCGTCTGTCGATGCAAAGAATGTCGTCAGCATCTTGGGAGAGTTCTTGCAAGCCGTGGTGGCCTGATGTATATACGTGTACACATTTATATATGCCTGCGCGAAGTGATAAAGTCAGGAAGCTATAAATCGGTTCGGCTTTGGCCAAATGTGGAGCTGGGGGAATTTTTTCAAGGAAGTAGGGATGCATTCTGATGCTTTTCTGACCACAAATCTTAAATTGCCAGTATTCTATTATTTTTATTTGTCTGATTTAATTTGAAGACGTTTTTATGTTTTTTAAAGCATTCCCCAAACTTGAGTTTCTTCTCTCTCTTGTCTCTTGTAAGTTTCTTGTACTTGTATTTAAGTGCTTCAAAATAGGGATGGAAGAGGAAGACCAAAACAATGAAATGACTAATTGCAAAGTTAGTTATTGTAAATATTTAGTTAATTGTGTTGTTATTCACATTTGTTGGTCAAGTAGGTTTGTGGTTTGTCATACTGTGCATGTCGTTGAACAGGTATTGGTAACTAATTATGTATTAAAATTAAATCTATTTAATGAATTTTGGCATTAATTTATTATGGCAGAAGGTACATGACTTTACAATGAATTGGGATACAATGATATAATATTATATATTCCACAATAATATTACATTATAATATTGAAAACTGTCTGTATAGTGTAATCCACAGAGTTATATTAATTAATAACGTTCTCAATACCGCACATCTATCCACCTTAGCTTTGTCTGTTGAACACCGTGGAGACATGAGCTATTACAATCAGTGATTACAGACATCGATCTAGTGACGTTCTATCAGAATATTAATTTTGGACACTTTACCATCGCGGTACCAGTGCATAATTTTGTACCTCTGTGTTCGCTTGACCACTACTCGCTGGGTTTTCCTGCACCTGCTGTTCCTTTCCATTCTCTGACACATTAAAGTGTCCGACTGTCCGCACCACGTAACCACACGTAATTATACAATCATAATTATGCCATTAGAGAGAGAGAAGAGAGATGAGAGAGAGAGAGAGAGAGAGAGAGAGAGAGAGAGAGAGACGAGAAGAGAGAGAGAAGGAGAGAGAGGAGAGAGAGAGAGAGAGAGAGAGAGCGAGAGAAGAGAGAGAGAAGAGAGAGAGAGAGAGAGGAGAGAGAGAGAAGAGAGAGATGAGCGAGAGAGAGAGATGAGAGAGAGAGAGAGGAGAAGAGAAGAGAAGAGAGAGAGAGAGAGGAGAGATGAAGAGATGTAGCAGAGAGAGAGAGAGAGAGAGAGATGAGAGAGTAGAGAAGAGAGAGAGAGAGATGAGGAGATGAGAGAGAGAGAGAAAGAAGAAGAGAGAGATGAAGAGAGAAGGGGGGGGAGAGAAAGCGAGATGGTACAGAAAGAGGGGTGAAGGAGAGAGAGATCGGTGTAGATGGGAAGAGAGGAATATCAAGAAGAGGGGGAGAGAAAGAGGGGAGAGGGGGGCAGAGAGAACGACAGAGGATGGGTGAGAGAGTGACAGAGAGAGAGAGAGAGAAAGAGATGGATGAGAGAGAGAATGGGAAGGAGAAAGATAGAGAGATGGAGTGCCAAGGAAAAAAAGAGGGAGAGACGGAGAGAGAAAGAGAGAGAGAGAGGGGGGAGAAAGTTATTATATACAGCTCGGGATGTACACCATGCACAGGATGCAGAGCGTCGAAATACTCCGGTACAACGTTGCTCTTTAATTAATAATTTAATTTATTACATTTATCATGGAAAGGTGTCGCTAGTTGGCAGAGGCCGCTTCGATTGCGACAGCGCTACAGTCGATTCCGCCTTATGTTTACAATATGTCAATACTTGTAAGATTCGCATCCTTATACTTGTAGTTTTTATTTCAATCTCGGATTATATTTAAATTAATAGTATATTTTCGTATTATTCCAGAGTTACCGTAATGGTCCCCCGCCGTTTAATTTACAGCGTTGTTCTGATCGCTTCATTAGTGTTAGGAAGCGTAGTAAAGTCATCTGGGGCACCCGAATCGAGTCTTAGATTAGTTCACGTACTGTTTAGACACGGTGATAGAAGTCCGACCTATTCCGTCCCTATCCCGAATGATCCAAATAAAGAAGACAGCTGGCCTCAGGGCTGGGGTCAGTTAACTACGGTGGGCATGAACGAGCAATTTAACCTGGGACGCTGGCTCCGCAGACGCTACGACGGCTTTCTGAACAGCTCTTACGTTCGCAAAGAGATTCACGTCCGAAGCACGGACGTCGATCGCACGCTCATGAGCGCGCAGTGCAACCTGGCGGGTCTCTACGAACCGATGGGAGCGCAGAGGTGGGACCCCGACATACGCTGGCAGCCGATCCCGGTGCACACCGAGTCCGAGGACTACCTGCTGATGCACGACGCGCCGTGCCCGCGATACGACGCGCTGCTGACGGCGGCGAGGCAGAGCGAGGCGTTCCTCAGCACACAGGAGAGGGAGCAGCCGTTCCTGGAGCGGCTGACGCGGTGGGCCGGCACCAAGGCGCTCCTCTCCAACGTGTGGTCGATATTCGACACGGTGTTCTGCGAGCACCAGCACAACATGACGCGCTGGATCGGCGGCGGCGGCGACGCCGACGCCGCGTTCGAGCACATGCGCGCGCTCAGCGACCTCGACATGACCTTTGACTTCTACAACGACGAGATGAGCCGGCTGAAGGGTGGTCCGCTGCTCGGCGAGGTCGTGCGGCACATGAGCGACCGCGCGGCGTCGGACGCGGCGGGCGAGAAGTTTTTCGTCTACTCGGCGCACGACACGACCGTCGCTCCGTTCCTCGGCGCCATGCGCGTCTTTGACGGCCGCATCCCGCCGTACACGGCGACGGCGATCGTCGAGCTGCACGAGTTCGCTGAGGGCGAGTTCTCGGTGAAGGTGCTCTACAGGAACGCGACGACGACGACGCAGAGGCGCGACGACGACGACGACCTGCACGACCTCACCGCGCTGCTGCCGGGCTGTGCGGACCCGTGTCCGCTCGCGAGATTCGTCGATGGCTGCCGGGACATGGTCCCGGCGGACGTGAGGAGCGAGTGTCAGGTAACGGGCGCCATGTTGGACTTGATTGTTGCAAAGATTAACCCGGCTAACCTCGGTACGGCGCTTGTCGTCGCTGTCGCTTTGCTTGCTTTGTTAGTTCTAGTGGGCGTGTGCTTCGTCGGATTTCGCAGGCGGGCGAAGAATCGTCATTATTATCGTCGGTTTGCGGCCGATATCAATGACAGCGAGCATATGGCTGTGAGTGACCCTGTTGACGTGCATACCGACCCATGATGTGTCGTGATACCCCTAACACGTATTCGGCTGTGTCTATTTCGTTTACCTATTTCTTTCTTGGTTTTCGGTCAACATTCCCAGTCAATTTTAAGGGTTTGTTGCAACCATGTAATATGTCGTGCTGAGGACCACACTTGAAGTGATACAAATTTGTTATATATTTTAAATATCAGATCTATCGTGGTTAATTTTCACTCAACCGTGTTGATTCAAAACATACTGCTGACTTTTCAGTTTGATATTTTAAATATCATTCTAGTATATTTTTCTGACCAAATTCCTTGTGATAATAATTATTTGCATCTTACCCAAGTTGACGATTTCATGAAAAATGATTGATTTATGTTGTGCTGTTTGAGTTAGGGGTAGTTCACAATTATCAATGTCACCACTAACTAGTGTATACACCCTACACATTTTCACATCTTTTCTCCAATGCTGATATTTGGGCATTTGGAGGGAAGGTATAAGCAAACATTTGTATTATTAAAGGTGTAAAATTGCTATTGACCCTCTCCTCCAGCATTTATGCTCGTGAAGGTATTGGTAATTGTGAATAGCCTCTTACTCCATGAACTGGATTGGTGATACTTTCGGCCAGTGAATTATTTTAAACATGCTTCATCCTGAATTATACTGTTCAGAAAACTGCTAGTCACTTGACTTGGTTTGCAACAATTTCCACTGTTAGTGCTGACAGACTTGTTCCTCATTTTTGTCATGTATTAAAATATATACTACTGATTAGATGGTTCCCATCTAACCAGTAGGTGGAGCTGCATGCCGGATTGTAAGTGTCATTGGAGCCGTGCCATCTCAGCTTTATGAAGTGTAATGTCAACTAACAGCATCTTTTAATTTGTTTTATTAAAAAAAAGAAGTCCTTACAATCTTTTCTGAACTGCTTTTGTGTGTATACGTGCCTGTGATTCCATTTTTCTAAACGAGACGTATATTTATTCACGTCTAGTGGTATTTATATTGGTGAATCTTGCAGGTTTAAACTGTCCGATTTTCTAACAATTTATTATCTGTCGTTTGAGTTGTAATGTACTGTTTGTAATGTGAACGACCATTTTAACGGTGAATTTTTATTGTGCCATGTAATATGCATAATAGTGGATCGAGTTGAATGCACATACATCCGTCCATTAGCATGCGCTTTGCTTTGTCAGCATCTTGTTTGTTGGGTTTTATTATTCAGCTTGTTACACCTTATTATATATTAGAGTGCAAGTTAAAAATATCTGTTTTACGGTTTATATAATGCTATTGATTGTCAGAAGTTAAATAATAAAAATTGCATAAACGACAAACTGGATTTGAATAAATAACAATTTGATTGGACAATTTTTGCAGATTGTTTTTAACATGTGATTGATAATGAATAAAGTATCCATCTCATTTATTTTTTACTATAAATTGTGGTTGTGGCAATATCATTATATTTTGCTTACTAGATTCTCTCACGCATACTGCACGTAGTTATTTATTAAAAGTGTCTACGCATATCTAACCAGTTAGCTGCATTAACTTAGCAGTTCGTAATAAATGTACTCAAATATATGAGTCGTTATTTTCGCTAGGAAAGTATACTTTTTAGTATATTTTCTGGTGCTAAAGAAGCATGAAAGTAAGCAACATAATAGTCCCGATAGATGTCTCTGTATTCACTCCCCAGGGGGCAGGAGCTGCAAACTGGTTTGCAGGATTTTGCAAAGTGGGTCAACTTTTTAAATTTAGCTGTGTTATCGATCTGGATATAACAACCAAAGGTAAAAACTCGTTTAATTATTATCTATATGTTCAGCTTTTAACGTGTACGTAAGATTTGGTGATCGGCGGCGTCAAAAATGGCACTATTTTGTGTTACGTTGTCTCCCTCTTAGTCTTAGTCTTACTTACCTAGGCTAGTACTACTACTAGTACTAGTACTAGTACTACTAGTACTACTACTAGTACTAGTACTACTAGTACTAGTACTACTACTACTACCACTACTAGTACTACTACTACTGGTACTACTAGTACTAGTACTACTACTACTATTACTACTACTACTAGTCGCCTCTTTTCGTATGTTGTCTGGGTAAATAATACACGATTGCTAGTGACAGTGTTTTGTGCCGATGTGAATTCTAATTTTGCACCAGAGAGTAGTAGAGAAGTGCATTTTTCATCAGTTAGTGTAATTTACACTTTTGCCAGTTTTGGCTCATTGACGAATGCAACATTATCGTGACGGATTATAAATGGCACAGTTGTGCATCGGAATGGCATCACAACCACTCAATCGTGAGCCAGTATAATTCATTAATCACACAATTCTGTCAACAAGTATCAAGATGTATTGCTGCCCTCTGTGTTACTACAGTTCTGATGCACTAGGAATAAAAAAATTGCTGTTGATGGTGAGTTTTTGATAATCTAGGAAAATGTAGAGGCTGTATTGTTAATTCAAGTACAGCGTGCAAAGTAATGATGTAGCTGCAAGCATTGGTTGAGGGCTCTTGCTCTTTCACTGAAATGCCCTGAAGAATGTTTGAAAATGAATCTCGGATATGTGACAGTAAAATCAATACCTCTAGCTGCTCCTGTTTAGATACTGCCCCCTCCCCCAAGCTGCTTGCCCCTAGTTTGTATTTCTCCATTTCATATGTTGCTGTGTATGCTATGTTCGCTTTCTGTAGACTAGTAACATTAGGGATATATAATTACATATATTCCATAGTAGTGTTACGTTATGTATAAACTGGTCCAACTGGACACTGTCTGTATTCCTGCAAAGCAGCTCTTCTCTTGGTGATATATTTTAAACATGTGTGTAGTGTGTACAAGCAATCTTTGTACAGTATCACAGATATGCGTGTACATGTTAAAGGCATAATATTTCCATCGATTATGCAAAGTTGACGAATGCTACAGTAACTGGCACCTTGTGTAGTTAATAAGTACATTACCTTATAGCCAAACGCGTATTAGTTTGTCCAATATCACTGCTAATTACTAAGAAATGTCTAATTGAAATCCGTAAATTCGGTAATCTGGCGCCAACGCTAAATTTATTGCCAACAAAATAAGCATCGATTTCGGTTCGGTGACCTCATATGTTGCTACAGGATGTTGAGCATCGAATTGTTTGTCCCGGGTAAATTGTTTGCCTAGTGACGGCAGTGACGGCAGTGACGGCATATCCTTTTCACATATTATATGTTGCTTGTAATCTCAAGATCTTCGTATATTCATTTATTCCCGAATCCCAAAAGTAAAACCATAAGTTACGTACGGAATGTGCACTCAGACCACAAGGATCGAAATCACTGACGGCTGAGCATACGTGCGAAAATGTCCGGTGCACTATAATCTGTATGACACCGCCTCGCCGGTTACGGCCGGTCATGGCGGGTTGTAACTGTCAACAACGGATTTATTTGACCGCGGATTTCAATTGGACATTTCTTAGTAACCAGCAGTGATATTGGACAAACTAATACGCGTTTGGCTATAAGGTAATGTACTTATTAACTACACAAGGTGCCAGTTACTGTAGCATTCGTTAAAATTGCATAATCAATGGTCGTCTTATGCCTTTAATGTTCTGATTTGCACCATCGGTTATCATACATATATGATAAGGAAGTGTTCCATCAGGGTATATTACCATGCTGACACTCTGTATCACTTTATATATATATATATAAAGTGATACATATGTATATATATATATATACTGACTTGTAGGTGTATGTGGCAAGGATCACCAGTTTCAGTAGTGGGATTTGTACCCAGAGAGGCATTTCAGTTTTAGGATCGTCTCAATATTGACTTTCAGTTTTCATGCATGCTGTATGTTGCCATAGCTAGAGGCCACGGTACCCTGCAGAATGCTTCCATGTGCATCTCATCATAAAAGCAAAATATTAAACAGAGGTTTTTGTCCGCCACTGATACGTGAAATTCCTGCACTTGCCGTGCGCATCATCCACACGGGGTTGATTTCCTCGCCGATCTTCTACTTCTAGCCAGTTGCGATTCATGTGCCAGCAAAATCGGAGTTTGATCAGCGTGCGCGCGCGCGGTGACATCTCGTCCCGGTCGTTTAAGAGCAGGAGCGCCGTTGTGAGGGCAAGAGATTGCTTACAGGATGCGACAAAAAGCGCCTTCAATTCGTGTCTAACTTGATCTGATCACGAAGGAGCACAGATGCCACTCTGCTGCCGCGCGTGCGTAAGTGCAAAAGGCTGCTGCCGATGCTGCTGCTGCTGCTGCTGCTGCGCGTTCGCGACGAAGGAAAACCGCATGGCGTGTTTGCAGGAAAAATTTGTTAGTTTAGCAGATCGGCATTTCTTGTTTCTGATAGAGGGGGGGGGGTGGCATGGGCTTTTAAAATAGCAGCACGGATGTGCACTGTACTGCTGAGTTGCGGTTGAAAATTCCAAGCGGGGATCATTATCAGTCGACATTGATGCGTTTTTGCTAGTTAACGTTGGCCGAGCACATCGAAAATAAACTTGATGTTATAGGCTTAATAGCTTGCATCTCTCTTTCTCTTCTCGTTGTAAACTTCATCCCATGTAGTTTTGGGCGTGTATAGCCAGCCCGCCTCTTTTGCTGCAACCTTTTGAGAGGTGAGGGAAAGTTATAACTCAATGTGAATGATAGCCCAGATGGCAGAGAGGTGCGTTCTCTCGCAAAGCCATCATCAGATTCCTCGTTCCATCTGGAGCCCAGATTGTTTCGAGTTGACTCCGCTGACACCCGTCTCTGTGCGTGCACGGGGGTGTACGCGGTAATCCGCGCCATGCTACCGTCTCAATGCTGTTAAAAATCGCCGCGTCGAACCGGGAGTGAAAAATTATCGCGCCGGGAGTGAAAAATTATCGTGCCGCTGCCGCCGCCGCCGAAGCGAGTGCGCCAACGTCGTTAAAATTCTGTCTTGAGAGGGGGAGGTGGGGAGGAAGAGATAGAAGCAGGGGGCGCTGACTTGTGTGCGCGCGCGCGCGTCAATGGCAAGCAGCCATGCAGTCTAAAACCCGAGGCCGTGTTGGCGTGTATTTTTCGCCCGCGTGTAGTTTCAGATTACTACGTGTGCCGAACTGCCGATGCCGCGTGTAATTACCCCGTAACAGCCGTTTCCAGGCTGTTACTGCTACACCTATAGCCGTCACTGTTTGAGGCTTTGAGCACCCCCCCCCCACTCTGCGCGCGGGGGCATCTGCTGACTGTTTCCAGACGGACGCGTGCGAGCGAGAGCCACCGCCGGCGCAGAAGCAACAGTAGTGCTCAGTAGCACTGGAGATTGTTTCAAATTTAATATATTCTCTCCCCTAGGCGCGGCGGATATTTTCTCTGCATTTCTGGAAACCGAATACGGCATTGCTAATTTCGCCGTGTAAATACGCGCGTGCGTGCGCGCGTGCGCAGATCGTTGCAGGCGAGAACGGTGTCCGATAAAGTTCCTTGACTGTAGAACTAATGCCCATGGCCTCTGGCTGTAAATGTAACTGCCAGTCGACAGGTTGATGAACGACAGAATGGCGCTTGACACTTTCCGCGGACAGGTACATACAATACGCCGCAGCGCTAACGTCGACCTGGTAGAGGGCACAACAGGTTTTTCGGCGGAGACGCGCAAAAAAACAAGGTACTTACCACAGAGCTAACAGGGACAAGACTAGCTGGGCCATTTTTAATTGTGCATCCACGTACGGGGGAGATCTGTTGGCTCAGGCGCTTACGGATGTGTGTTTTGTGCGAATCTGGTGGTCTGTTGGTCGATCGGCTTGTTGCAGGTGTGTACGCGTACGTTTTGTGTGCTTTTCGAGTTTTTGCACGGCGCGCAAAAAGCGGCCCACGAATGTCGGTTTTCTCGCGAGAACGAGATGACGCATTCGCTTTCGTTCTTTCGAAAGCCGATCTGTGAAATTTTTGCGATTTTTAAAAGCAACTGCGAAGCTGAGGACTGGACTGACTGTTGCCGATCATCGAACAATATGTGCCTGTTTTTCCACCGGGGCAGCGCATTCGCTCGCTCGCTCTAAAAGATCGGTGAAATCATTTTAATGGATGCCGTTTGGCATGGTACAATCGCCTCGGTGTACAAGCGAAGGTGCGGGTGTAACGGTTGACGCATGGAGCATCGTGATCAGGCTCTGTGGAGGCATGATGATCATCGCTGCTGCTGCTGCTGCTGCCACCAGCACGTACATGTTAATGTAGCTGCTAAGCCGCTAGCGTAGGATTAGTTGCCCCCGCGTGCATGTGGTAACCATCTGCCCTGATGTCTGGCAGTTGCCGGGCGCGCTACATTTTTTCGAGGACCCTCTTCCGAAAACTTATTTGCGGAATGCGCCGCGCGCACGCGACAGCCGATGCAGATGCCCGCAGATGCGTTTCTTTTTAAAGGAGACGGTTGTGGCAGGCGCGCGCGAGTGAGCGCTGGAGTATGTAAACCAACGCGAACGCGTGCCACTCTTCTAGTTCATTCGCAAACGTCTGTCTCCCGAAATTGTCTCGGATTCTGGCTCGCCGAAAGTTTCCCAGGGTATGGTCTTGACCGGACTGTTTTACCGGTTCCAGTGAGCATTCCATTTTCGATGGTCGTTCTGTTTTATGACGATCGTTCCATTTCGGATGATTATTCCGCTTGCGATAATTGTTGCATTTCCGAATCATTCCGTTGTTAATGATCGTTCCATTTCCGATAATGGTTACGCTTCCGATGATCCATCCATTTCCGATGATCGTTCCTTTTCCGACAGTCGATCTGTTTCCAATCGTCATTCCGATTCTGACGATCACTCCATTTCTGTCAGCCATTCCATTTCCGACGATCGTTCCATTTCCGCTGATCGTTTCATTTCTGACGATCGTTCATTTCGCATCTCTTTTCGGACAGGTGCGAAGACGACATCTCTCGGAGCAAGCGATCGGCGCGGCGTGCGATGACGACGACGAGGAACAAGCGGACGTCCGCCGCCTCGTAGACTGCCCCCGCACGTTCGCCCATCCGCGCGGTGACCCCGTGGGAACGACGGCGGATTCGCCGCGGATCCGGTAGCGCCCCCTGCCGGACTAACCCCGATGCGCGCGTGAACGCGCGTCGCTGCACGCGCGCGCGCTGACAGAACAACATGTCGAATTCGGAACAGAACGTCGACGGCGGCGTCGCGCCGACGGTCGACCACAGCAACGTAGCGTTCCAGTACGACGGCTCGTCGCGGCCCGTCGCCGCACCCGCGTGGGCATCCCCGCCCGCCGCCGCAGCCGCCGCCGCTGCCGCCATGCAGTCGCTGTCGCCGAAGCGCAGCAACCACACGCTCGACGTCAACCGCTCTCGCTCGTTCAACGACGGCGCCGCGACGGCCGCCGCGCACCGCTTCTGGGAGAAGGACCCGCCGCCGACAACGGTGGCGCCCCCGCGCGGCAACCACGTCGGCGGCGGCGGCGGCGACGACGCGGAGGTGCTGATCGACGAGGCGGGTGACCGGTTCGTCTGGGAGCACCACACGATGACGCTGACGCGCGTCGCCGGCTTCGGTTTCGGCATCGCCGTCAGCGGCGGCACGGACAACCCGCATTTCGCGAGCGGCGACCCGTCGGTGGCGATCTCGGACGTGCTGCGCGCGGGCCCCGCCGAGGGCAAGCTGCTCATCAACGACCGCATCCTGAGCGCGAACGGCGCGCCACTAGAGGGCGTCGACAATGCGACGGCGATCCGCGTGCTCATGGAGAGCGGCGACACGGTGGCGCTGCGCGTGCGCCGCAAGACGCTGCTCGCCGCCGAGCCGGATGAGACGCCGCGACGAGTCGTGCTGGCGCGCGCGCGCCGCAAGGCCGACTACGGCGTCGTGCTAGGCTGCCGGCTCTACGTGCGCCGCATCGTCGGCGACAGCGTCGCCGCGAACGACGGCACCGTGCGCGAGGGCGACACCGTGCTCAAGCTGAACGGCACCGCCGTCGAGACGCTGTCGCTCGCCGACGCGCAGAAGATCATCGACAAGGGCAACAAGGACAAGCTGAGCCTCGTGATCTCGCGCGGCGCGGCGCGGCCGCCTCCTCCGTTCGTCGTCACCGGCAGCGGCGGCTCCATGCACGACGTGAACTACGCGGTGGCAGCGGCGGCCGGGATGGCGCGGCCCGCGTCGGCGCACGACGCGCGCTCGCCAGACGGCCGCAAGCCGAGCAACATCGAGGGACTGCAGCGCATGCCAAGCCGCAACCGCAACCCTGTCTACGAGGCCGGCGGACTCGGACGCCTCGAGGAGCCGCCGCCAGGGGGCGTCGCGGTCGCGCGCACGCCGTCGTCGCCGGGCAGCGGCGGGGACGAGCCGCCGCGGTCGCCGCCCGTGCCTCCGCCGCCGCCGCCGCCCGCGCAGCCGCACCCGGGGCTCGGCGACCGCCAGCTGGCGCTCACCAACGGACAGCTGCCGGTGCCGATCTACGAGGGCTACTACAGCAACGTCGGGCAGCGCGCGCCGCCCGACCCGCGCTTCATCTCCTTCCGCAAGGAGGGCAGCGTCGGCATCCGGCTCACCGGTGGCAACGAGGTGGGCATCTTCGTCGCAGCGGTGCAGCCTCGCAGCGCGGCGGCGCTCGCGGGGCTGCGTCCGGGCGACCGCATGCTGAAGGTGAACGAGCGCGCGATGGAGAGCGTGACTCGCGAGGAGGCCGTGCTCTTCCTGCTCAGCCTGCGCGACCAGATCGACATGATCGTGCAGTTCCGGCGCGACGAGTACGAGCGCGTCGTCGCGATCCAGCTCGGCGACAGCTTCTACGTGCGCGCGCACTTCAACTACGAGCAGACGGAGAAGGGCGAGCTGAGCTTCCGCACGGGCGACGTCTTCCACGTCAAGGACACGCTGCACAATGGCGTCGTCGGCGCGTGGGAGGTCGCGCGCGTCGGCCGCGGCAACGAGGAGACGCAGATCGGCGTGCTGCCGAATCAGAGTCGCGCCGAGCAGCTGGCGCTCGCCGCGGCGGCGTCCGGAAACGGCAGCGGCACAAAGACGATCGGCCGCTCGACGTTCTTCCGGCGGCGCAAGAGCGCGCGCCGCTCCAAGTCGCTCAACCGCGACCACTGGGACGAGATCGTCTTCTCGGAGGCCGGCTCCAAGTTCCCGGCGTACGAGAAGGTGCGCTGGAAGTACCCGGGCTTCGTGCGCCCCGTCGTCATCTTCGGCGCGCTCGCCGACGTCGCTCGAGAGCGCCTCCTGGCGGACATGCCCGACAGCTTCGAGTCTCCGCAGACGGAGGCCGGCGACGGCAGCGGCGGCAGCGAGAAGAACAATCGGTCGGGGATCGTGCGTCTCGGCGCGATCCGCGAGATCATTGAGCGCGATCGCCACGCCGTGATCGACGTGACCCCGAACGCCGTCGACCGGCTCAACTACGCGCAGTACTACCCGATCGTCGTCTTCCTGCGCGCCGACGGCAAGAGCCAGGTGAAGACGCTGCGCGCGCGTGCGGGCCGCGCCGGCGCCGGCCGCGGCTCGCGCAAGCTCTACGAGACGGGCGTGCGGCTCGAGAAGACGTACGCTCACCTGTTCACGGCGACGGTGTC